GTGAGGTTATACGACGAGCTGCATATATTCAAGACATGATATAAGAGAGACCCGTGAAAGATTATGGTATTTTGAAATTATTCAGAAAGATCGACCCTTCTTCTTAGCTACCTCATCTTTCTGCTCCACACTGAAGTCGAGCATTGTCATTATTGCCTAAACTATCGTGTGCGGAACCTGACTTATATAGGAGAAACTGTAATTAACCTGAAGGTGCTCTTTAGCATCACCCTTATTCATTAAATAGTAATAGAAAGCATCATGCAAAAATCGCAAGACGACACGATCCTGTGTCATCTGATCAACGTGGGCAACCTGAAAGTAAAGGCATCACTTCAGCATAGCTATAGTTCAGTTTGTAGCTGGATCTCTATAAAAGATACTACAGAATTCCTGAGTGAACTTCAAGACTTATGCATAAGCTACTACCCACTTCCTTGAGATCCATTGCTGCTGCTTCTTGGCCTTTCTTGAACATGACCAGATACATTTCTCTTCTTAAACAATCAAAACAATATGATAGATTCACATTTACAAAAATCACCTCTCTTCCTCCATGTCTCTTATCTTTTTCTCATACATCATGTTCTCATTTCTACTTAGTTCCAGCCGGGCATTTGCTTCTTCCACGGCAGCACAAGCAGATGTGGAATCCTGAGAAAGAACTAATGAGTGGAATGCGGATATATCTTCTACTACAGACCTGGTCAATTTTTTGGAGAAGAAGTTCGACTTTCTCCCTGAGAGCGTCTTTTTCCTGTTCTAGCTTAGTTAAGCGATCATTGTCTGGTCTTACCTTCCTAGCACTAGCAAGCTGGAATATTCACATTTTCGAAGGAATCTATACAGGAATGTAGATGATTTACCGCCGCATTCGCAATGGCGAGTTGATCCTTGAGAAAGCGATTCTCACGTCCAAGCTGACCAACGCGTTCGCGCAAAGATATTGTGCGCGACTCGCGGCGACTTGTTTGCGAGCGCTCCGTAGGCTGTGACTCAAACTGCGTTTTGTTAGCACTAGCCTCGTGCCAAGATTGCGACATTTGTGGCACGTCTTTTCTAGAAAATTATGAATATTCAGGAATTAATCTAAGGTTTGAATATTAACTGACTGTTGAGCTGTGCTTCCAAACCAATCTCCACCTATATCCGATGTGATCGAGGAGGACAATGACGGCGGAATGTTCTGAAGCGCTTGATCAAATAGGGAACTAACGATACGTCGCACAACTGCTTCACCTTCTTAACAGATCGACGACGACTTTTTGCCTCGGGAGTTGGCCTCGACGGACTGGATCGCTTCCGCTGTTCACTTCGGGAACGACGTTCGGGTTCGCTCTCCCCTCGTTTCACGGGAGGAGTAGCCAATACACGGCAAGCTACGCTTTCATGAGTGGATGTGCGATCAAATGGACGCGGACTTTCGTGGACAGCGACCACATTACTCCTTCGCCTGAATAAAATTTGATCATATGTAATCTAATGTTCGCCAGAAGAACTATTCAGATAAGTGTGCCAATGAAATTTCATGCTTTCACGCAAAGAACAGGTGATTCCGCACAACACAAATAGCGAGTGATTGATATGGGAAACTCAAGTCCCAGTCCTTTCATTTTGAATACTGCTAACTGATATATTTTAAACGAGTTGTTCATAACTATTACATTTCTTCATGAACTTTTGAGTTGTAAATTTGAGAGGGAGAAATTTGTATTGCCTTCTATAGAAATTCCCCTAGCAATAAGCATAAGTTTTCATGAACAAACAATTCTGCATTATCGCCTAAGCAAGTACCACCTGCTAAGGTCTACAGGTGGGCTAATTCTACGAGTCGGAAGCGAGAGAACTGCCCCAAAAGTTGGGATTCTATTCCTCAGCAAGATAGTCCCGTCCAATTCTATTTTTCTCTCTCGAAGGATACAAATGGTGTCACACGACAAAGGGTCCTTGTCTCTGCATTTCTAGGCTTGGAGGGTCCTCGCTTGGACCTCGCGAAAGGCGCAATACGTACAAATCGCACAGCGTATATACTTTCTACTTTCCACTCCTCTGCAATATCACCATATGGTATCTAGCCATATACTGGGAAGGGGGTGGGACATGAGCAGGCTGGGACGAGGATGATGTGTCAAGCTGGAAGTGGTATTTTGAAAGCAAAAGGGGTTCTTAGTCATACATTCATATACACTGCTTACGCCTAACAAGCCCAGCCAAACGACGAACAGATTTTCACAGGCTGACGTGCTACGATATTGCTTAGACGTCACTTATGAAAACTGAGTTAGTTACATCAAGTGAACGATTCATCATATGAATCGTTTACGATACACACATAATATCCCACCAATATTCGTATGTAGATGGGCAAGGGCTACGAGGAACAAGCCAAATTCAAAAAAAAAATGATTGAAGGAACGATGGGTTTCTTTCTGCTGAGAATTTCACACAGATGATAGGTGAAAAAAATGACTAGTTTACGACGCACAAAATGCCTCCAATTTCTGGTTGTATGTACGCGCACAGTGAAGCATAAAAACGAAGAATGGAATTATATAAACTTTGAGTGAACGAAGAAAACAGCTTTTTTACAAAGTAGGATGGCAAGTGCCATTTCGAAGGCAGTGGCTAGGCAGACTAGAAGCCCCATAATAAAACCTATAGGCCAAGTCCAATCTCGCACTGCCACCTCTAGCCCCCAAAAATCCAACGCAAAAGGCGAGGCTCCTTCTCCCTTCACAGCATCTCCGACCCCGCCCACCTTGCGATTCCCCTTCCACCGTCTACAAGTATAAGGGTCCCGCAGCGACTCGGCGCCTTCGCCATGACCGGCTTTGCGTCCACTCGTCCAAGTTTGAAACTGATGTTGGAAAATGCTCGTTATGGCCAGCTCGTGCTTTCCAAGGTGGCTATTCGAAATCAACGGGTCGGATTACCTCAGGTAAGCGAGGAACAGATGCTTTGAAGATTTGCCGAACCACTGCCTTCAAAACCACAGTGAGAGTGGCAAAACTCTCAATTCAAGTTTCCCATTCCTACAAAAGTCCATTCGTTCCACACCTAATGTTTACAATATGGTAAAAATCGATTTCGAAATTTTTTCATTGCTAGAACTCGAAATACACGAATCGCCAACTTCCAAGGAAGAAAGGGCGCTCCAGCTGGACGAACTGCCCAGTTTACGCGATCAAGGAAAGAATGGAAATTTTGGAACACAAAGGTAATTTCGTTCATAAGGTGTCAATTTGCCATTCTGCTGATTCTGGCCGAGAGCGGAGAAGAGGCGAGAGAAAACTTTGAAAACATATTTGATCTAACTTTCTCGTGATACGATAGTCAGTTACATAAATCCATACCGTCGCAGATCACTGGAAGTGTGACAACTTCGGCTTCTTACAGAAATGGGGGAGAAGTACACAGACGAGCCTATGGACGTATCGGCATCCCTAAGTTTTTTTT